CGAACGCCTGTTCTCACTTTCAGGTGACATTGTAAATAAGAAGAGGGCAGCATTATCTCCCATAAATGTAAACAAACCTGTTTGTCTTAGCGATTGGCTGAACAAGAAGTAGGACTGAGTGGGCTTGTAGGCTCTAAAGTTTTACATTGTTTTGTTTGGAGTGCAGTTATGTAACAAAAATATTTACATTTGTAAGTTACACTTTCAGATAGAGATTGCACTACAGTACTTGTATGCGGTGAACTGAAAAATACTATTTCTTTTGTTTATAATTTTTACAGTGCAAATATTTGTAATAAAAATAATATAAAGTGATCACTGTACACTTTGTATTCTGTGTTATAATAGAAATCAATATATTTGAAAATGTAGAAAAACATCCAAAATATTTAATAAATTTCAATTGGTATTTTATTGTTTAACACTGCGATTAATCACGATAATTTTTTGTAATTGCAGTTAATTTTTTTGAGTTAATCACATGAGTTAACTGCAATTAATCGACAGCCCTACTTTTTACATGACAATTTATTTTCAAATCACTTTTAGACCATTGGTAGAGGGAATCTCTTTGCAGAACGGAGTTAGCATTAATAGCTGTTGTTCCAATGTAATGAGAGGAGGAAGGCGACAAGTTAGCTAAGGTCATTAATCAAGACAACTTGGTATTTTAATAACCAGAGGCAAGAAATGGCAGCTCCAACTTTAGAAGGGCGAAGAAAGGTTTTATTCAGAGTTCACTGAAGCTAGAAATCATAGACCCATAAAAATGTAGGAGTCATCTAGTTCCCACCCTCCCCCATGGAGAAATCTGTTAAAATTCTATTAAAATATTTGTTTTAAAAGGAAGAATCAAATTGCTGAATGTTACATCTAAGCAACACAGTAATCCACACACAAAATCAAACATGTCCCTGAACTAAAAGCCACTCTATTCCCTGAAAAAGAGGGTAATAGACTGGATATTGTGGCCACTAGAGGGTGGTGGTACACACAAGTCAGACAGTTGCTTACTCTTCTGATTTTATTTTGAAATACAAGTACCAGGTGAGAAAACTAGAAGGTTGTTGATAAATGTAAAATAGGTGAGAATGGTTTTGTGCAATTCACACTCTGTGACTGAGACTTGGAGGGGACACTCCAGTAAATCAAATTGTGGTAAATTTAGAACAAAAAAAAAATTGGAAAGTGTACAGCCTCTGAAATTCACTGAACTCAGGAGACTGCTGAAAAAATGATTTTAAAACTAATAATTTTGGCTGGATAATTATGAACATTAATTTTTGCCGGCATAGACAATTAAATACATTTCTAGTCTGGTTTCCAGTTGGACAAGGTGCAGTACCATATCCTTAAGAGGAAGGCATAAGGAATCCTATATATAGGGCGGTTATGAAATAATCTACCCCATGGGGAAGTTTCTTCCCAATCGCAGACAGTTAGTGGCTGATTTATGCCATGAAATAGGAGGGTTTAATCTCTTTTCAAGGGCTTATCCTGGCTTTTGCTGCCAGAGCAAAGTGAGGTCTTATACTCGATGGCATCTGCTTGCCTGTAACGTGATAACTTTTGAACATTGCCTCCAGCAATTTCAAAATTTCAGGGTATGATCTACATGTGAATGAATGGGCAGAACCCTATTGATTTTGGTGAAATCTGGAAAACTGGCAGGTGGCAAATGAAGGACATATGGAGCTCCTAGTACCTGTTGTGCAGACCCAGCGACTTCAGCCACCTCTAATTGGCTCTAGATCAAAGATTATATTTGCCACCCTTCTTAGCTCTGCTGATCCTGCCAATAGTTTTAAGATGTTGATACCCTGAATAACTTATCTCCAAGAGAGAAAGAAAAGAAATGGAAGAGATGGGGGGAGGTGGAGGCAGAGCAACAGAGCCCCTGGTATAGGGGAAGGGGTGTTGCAGGGAGTCCTTGAAATAGAGGGGGATGGAAGACAGAGAGCTCGTGTGAAGAAAAACAAGGAGCCCCTGGTATGTGTAATGTGCTCAGCCAACAGCAGCAACAAACGGTGTGTCCTTGTAGTAACAGTAATGTTACCTGTTGAAGTGTCTAATCCTTTTTTTTAGGTTAAGGTTAATCATGTTAAATGACTAAGAAAGCAACCGCCCACCTCCCTCATAAGTAAGCATTTGTCATCCATCACTATCAGAGCGCTTTACTAAAGGAAGGAAAGTAGCGCCAGCTCATATTTAAGGAGAGAGAAACTTGGCTGCAGTGGTTAAGTGACTTTTCCAAGGCCTCACGAAGCCAATGGCAGTCTGGAAGAAAACTCTTATCCCCCAGCTCCAAACCACTGGCTTTCTGCCTTTTCTGTGAAAGAGCAGGTGCCTAACCCCTGCCAGAGGCAGGATGCTGGACTAGATCGACCAACACCCTGATCCAGTACGATAGGTCTTATGTAAAAAAAAAGCCCACTACCATTCTTTCCAGTTTAGTGGTTTATGGATTTGCACAATATGCTGCACAGGGTCATTCCAGCTGGACCCAGATATAAGAGATAAGAGGCTGCGACTTCTAAAGCTCTCCTCCCTCACACACTGACAACAGAAGCAAATTTTAAACACCACTGGGTTGCAACTAAGCATATAAAATCATAGAGCAAGAAGTCTCCAGGGAGACATTTCCTCATGTGTGAAGAAATTAAATGCACCATTTGATCATCTAGGAGATCAACCCCAATCTCTCATTGACACCCACGGAAGGATAGGTACAAGTGCAGTCACAGACCCTTGTAGGAACCTACAGCTGGATCTTCTGCAAGTAAGCTCAGAACTCACCATGCTGAACTTAAGGGAGCCAGTAGAGCCGTGTAATAAAGTGAAAAATCACTTCAACCTTTCTCAAAAATCCAGGCTGAACTAGCACCTGGCAGCAAAGTGCCAGGTGCTAGTGTAATAAAGTGAAAAATCACTTCAACCTTTCTCAAAAATCCAGGCTGAACTAGCACCTGGCAGCAAAACTCTCTCTAGGGTTAGAAGGCTACTGGAGACTACCCTGCAGAAAAGAAAAGAAACCCTGAAATGTTTGTGCATGAATGGAGAACAATCAGTGGAATTTTATTGAGCACCGGAATAAAAGATGCTGCTGCAGAGATTTGATACATGAGTAAGTCTGAATTAGAACTAAAAATGAAACTAATTTGGAGTTATGGAGGAATCATTCACACTGCTTTTGGTAAAGATAATTAAGGCTTGATCAGCCTGTCCAATGTAAACTAAATGAAGGTTACTTACCTATAACCAAGATTCTTCGAGACAGACTATATATTTTCACTCTTGGGATACGCACCAACCAGTTCAGCCTTCTATTAGCAATGCCTAATCAGTTGCTCACTCATCCCTTTCTTCCCCAACCCTCAGGGTTGGAGCACATCCTGAAGGCACAGCTATAAAAGGGGGGCACAAAAGCGGTTGCTGCCTCAGTTCCTTCCCCGCTAATGCAGAGCCACGAGTAGACTGGACTCCACTGAAGAGGGGAAGGAGGATGAGGCGGGTGAATATGCAAAGTCCATTTTGAAGAACCTTGGTTACAGGTAAGTAACCTTTGTTTCTTCTTCAAGTGTCCTCTCCATATTCCCACTCTTGGGATAGGTTAGTCAGAAGTATGTAAGGAGATTGGATGGCAGGTAAGGAATCCTAACTGAGCAAAGACTGCTGAACCAATCTGCCAAACAGAGCAGCTGTCTTTGCTGCAGTATCTAACCCATAACAGTCAGGAAAAGTCTGACAGGCACACTTTGTAGCAAAATGGGATTCCCTTTCCAGTTACCCACATATGAGAAACAATCCATGTGATAATCTCAAATCCTTAGTTCTGTTTAAGCAGAATGATAACACGCTTTCAGCATCCAAACAATGTAATTTTGCGTCACACCTATTTGAATGCTGTTTGGGAAAAAATACACTGGCAGACTAACAGGTTGGTTAACGTGAAATTTCAAAATTACATTTGGTATAAACGGTGAGCGAGGATGAAGAACTATTTTGTCTGTATGAAAAACTATAAATGGGGGGGGGCAGCCATCAAGGCATGAAATTCACTAACCCTTCTTGCAGATATTATTATTATTATTATGATAAAAGCAGCCTTAATTGAAAGGTAAAACAGAAAACAATTAGATAATGGTTCAAATGGCGGTGATACACATTGTAAATGCACCAAGTTTAACTTCCAGGCAGGAACTGCATTGTTCAGCTGGAGGATACAGATTTACACCTTTCATAGATCTCTTAACAGGCTGATGGGAGGATACTGATTTACCATCTATAGTGTATGAACAGTTGCTATTGTGGCTAAATATTCCCTCTGTGACATCACACATTTTTGTTCTTCAATAACAAATACTCTAAAATGGATTGTACAAAAGCTAACAAAGCTACAATCCTTATAAACACCACCTAGAGAAAATCTTTTCCATTTCAACTCCTAACATTGTCTTCTTGGAGTTAGTAATACATGTTGTACATCCTCAGAGAAAGATTTCTCTATTTCCGGCAAAGACCTATTTCCCAGGCCCTAGGCGTAGTGAAGATGGATCTTGGTCATACATCCTCCTCTGCTGCTGTCAGAACAGGTCCGGTGGCAGTGGCAATACTTTGATGTTTCTCTTTGACAGAAGGAGTACGTCAGTGTACCACTGCTATCTCAACCATGCAGAAGCAATCAAAATCAGCCTGTCTGACCTTCCTTATATCCTTCAGTATTAAGGGACGAAGGTGGGAAGGCATACATCATATCCATACCCCATTGAGGAAGAAAGCATCCATCAAAGTGTGTAGCTCCCCCCCCCCCGCCCTTGAATAAAAAAAAAGAGAGGACATTTTGTGTTGAAGATTGTGGCAAAGAGATCTATATTTGGAGTGTCCAAGAGAGCAAAAATTTCCCTGATTAGAGTGTCTTTGAAGGATCATTTGTGCATTTGGTCTGCTGATTGAGGGATCCTGCTTTATGAAGAGCTATTGCATAAACTTGGTGAGTAAAACACCACTCCCAGAGTCTCATCCCCTCCTTGCAAAGCTGGGAAAAGCATGCTTCTTGTTTGTTTATATAGTACATGGGTCGGCAACCTTTCAGAAGTGGTGTGCCGAGTCTTAATTTATTCACTAATTTAAGGTTTCGCGTGCCAGTAATACATTTTAACATTTTTAGAAGGTCTCTTTCTATAATATATAACTAAACTATTGTTGTATGTAAAGTAAATAAGGTTTTAAAATATTTAAGAAGCTTCATTTAAAATTAAGTTAAAATGTAGAGCCCCCTGGACCAGTGGCCAGGACCCAGGCAGTGTGAGTGCCACTGAAAATCAGCTTGTGTGCCACCTTTGGCACACATGCCACAAGTTGCCTATCCCCTGATATAGTATATTGCTGTCAGATTGTCTGTTGCCACCTGCACCACCCATTCCTTGACTTGAGGTAGGAAAGATTTTAGTACTAACCATATTGCTCTTAACTCCAGGATGTTGCTACACAGATGACACTCATGCTGATTCCACAAACTTTGTTACCAGATGTGCACCCAAGCTTGGTCATGATCTGAAAGATCCAATGAGTCCCCTGAGTAAGAGACAATGCCAGGCCCAGAAAGATGCTTGGTCTTGTCTTTCTTCTTCTTGGAACTGAAGGCCTCAGTTCCATAGGGATTCAGACATAGTTCAAGAGTTGTCCATACGCCTTTCCTTCAACAACAGAACCCTTTTTGGAATAGGGTCAGATGTGTTTGTAATCAGATATCTCTTATCTCGACTTTGGTGTCAATGCTGAAGACTTTGACGAGGACGGCTTCTTGGAACCCAAAGGTTTCTGAGTCAAACCAGCTCTTTTGTTTTCCTTGTCTGGAGTCTTATAGCTCTTGGTTCTAGATTTTTTGCCAACAATGATTCATGTAAAAGGAGGGTCTGAAGTCTGTTCTGCCTCTCCTTCCTAGCTCTAAGTGTAAATGTCCCAGAGTGAGTGCATCGAGAAAGAGTGTCCCTCCCTAAACATCTTAAGCATGAGGCTGGAAAAAACTGCAAGACATGATGCACATCACTTGAATCTGTGCTTCTTGCTCTTTGGATCTGCCATTCTCAACAGCGAAACCTAACACTTATACTAATCTAATTATTTACAGACAGAAGCAAGGCACTTATGTAAATCAATAAGGATCTTGAATCCTGAAGGCACTCATCTGTCTGTGGTAGCTGTTGGAAAGAACTGAGGTGGCCACACCTGCTGTGCCGCCTTTATAACCACGCCCTCAGAACATGTTCAGATACTGAGAGTTGGGGGAAGAGAGGGGCATACAAGCAATGGATCAGGCACTACTAGTAGAAGGCTTCATTATTCAAGAACAATGGTCAGCACATGTCCCAAGAGTGGGAATATGCAGAGGAAACTCGAAGAAGAATCTAAGTTTCAAGGGGTATGGAGCTGAGATATACAAAAAGTACTTTGGAATCAAGTTAGCAAGGCAGTTAAATAAATTCTGGGTTATTGTTGAGGAATTGCATATGCAAGTTAGGCAATGCATAGTAGGGTATCCTCAGCTATCTTAAGTGATACTCTTTGCACATACTGAATGCCCATTGCTGTATGTACCATTATCCCAAAATTGGTGGATTACTACTGCTTTTCAGCCGTCAGGCCAGTAGTATTGACTCAAGTACTGTTGTGACAATTGGGCCTACAAATTTTCCCTAATTGTAAGCTCAATTATAAGACGTTTATAAGATGGTAGGATAACTTTAACAAGTGTTGATGGAAAGTAGGTCAAGTTGTTTTCATTAATGAATATTATAAACAGGTGCAAAAGAAACAGACAGGGACTAAATTACTGCAAACAAGAGAGGCCATGTTGATATAACTCCAGGCCAATGCTGAAATCATGCTGGGTTAAAACAAGATGTGGGGCTGGAAATTAATGAATGAAAAGTGGGGTGTTGGATATTAGGCTTATTTGATGGACAAAATGAGAGGATGGGCTATTCTACCCACCATTTCCTTTGTAGATCCTTATAGAAAGATTTTGGGAAAGAATACAGAACAACAGATTGAGGAAAGTGAAATGAGCTTCTTCATCATGCTGTCACTCCCCCCATCTTCTGGGACCCTGGACCTTCATCATCCTAATCCTGAGAGATGAGCGGTCCTGACCAGACCAGGCCAGAGAGCGGGACCCAGCTAACATTGCTAGCCCCACCAGGTCCAGCTAGATCTCAACCACCAGCTAGGAGAAAATGGGATTGGACTTCAAGAACCGCTCCAGCTCACCTGAGCTAACCTCTTCTCTTTTTCCCCCCAAAAGGACAGTTATTACCATCTTTAATAAATCTAAGAGACTGTCAGACAAAGAAGGTTTTCCTTCTAAATTTCTCTCCAGCTAAAGGGAAAAGGAATGGGAACAAGAAATGTTGTTAAAATGAAAACCTTACGTAATACTTCACATTTCAAATGCACTGTTTTTCCTTCTTTTCTGTATCTTTCCATGTCTAAAGGTGGCTGATGTCTCTGTACACCAAATCCTGAACCTTGTTTCATGCTATTTAAATGTTGGACAGGGACTGGGTTATGTTAACACCTTTAGCCCCCATATTCCATCTAAATTAATACAACAGCATCCCTGTGGAGAGGATTCTGTGAGGGCTTCGGTGTCCATCCTGCTTAAATAACTATTGTATCAGAGTACACATGTGATGACTTGCATGAAATTGTGATTGTTAGACCACCATTCAAGCAGGACAAATATTGGTTTCTAGACCTGCTCTAGACCCTCCATGTTGTTCTGAGGCTCACTGCAAGTGGTGAACATAAGCAGCATTTCAAACACGTTCAAGCTGGTTAGAATGGAAAGTTTCAACCCCAAAGTTGGCTGAGAAGTATCTTCTTCATTCCAAGAACATTTATATTTCAATCTCTTGTTTTCAATAAATTGATACCGTCTACACCTAACAGTTTGGGCAACATACCAAAAATTCAAGGTGAGCGGCCCCATGCGCCAAACAGTTGATCTGATTCCTAACTCTGTACACATTTGTACTGATACAGTCGCTGACACACAGAGGAGGAAGAGGAGGAGTAACATAAGGCAGCCTTGTTGGCATGGATACAAGAGACACCACACCAGGGTGTGCCAGACCTGAGACAAACCAGAAGGGAAAATAATTTTTAAAGAAGCTATTACATGCAAAGGACTCCAAACCACCCCCCACTAAACTATGGATCAAGGCCAAGTTCAGACCTGCAAGCAGGCACAACTCCATTGACCTCACTGCTTGAGTCTTCTGATGTCCCTGAGGAAAGTCAGTTCTGTTTACACAGGGAAATTGACCGGCTTAGCTGGAGCAGAATTACTATTTCACTGTAGTCATGCCATTGTGAAACAGCCCCATGCTTTGGAAGTTGGAAGCAGAGTAATTATTTTGGAGTAAGAGTCACTCTTACTCCAGCTTAACTACTCTGCTTCCAACTTCCAAAGTATGGGGGAGTTAAAATCACATAGCAATAGCAGAATAATTATTTTGCTATAACTATGCTGGTCAATTTCCCCAGGTAGACCTACCCTAATAGATGTACCTGTGTTGCTGGGAATAGCGAGTGAACAGCTCAAGAGCAAGGCTTCAGAACAGATGGTAAGTGTGAGGGGCTAGTCAGAGTAACTGAAAGGGGAAAGGTACTTGTGCTGTTGGATTGCTGCAAGGAAAAGGAAAATTAAATTGGAGGGCCCCCATTAGAGAGTCCACTGGGGCAAACCAAGGAAAGTTGGCACTTCTCTGTTCTCATAAGCAGTGAACACAGCTGAGATTGACACACTGAAGAGAGTTGCTCAGTTCAGTCCTGGAAGCCATCCTTGTTACATCCTTGTACAGTTATTTCAAGATTTCCCCAGCTTCTCTCACTGAAGATCCACACCCATCCACCCACCCACCCACAAAAGGGAGGGAGGCACCCAGGATATACAAGGCAGCTAGGAATCCATGTCTCAATACCACAATATCTAAGGGTTCAGAAGGACTCAAAAAGTTCAGATGAACAGGGCTAGAAGTAGTCTCTGAGGGCTGGTTTCTATTAAGATTGTGATATTTAGTTCCTGTAAATAAGATTTACAGGAACTCTACAGGCCAGATTCTGCCACCCTTAATGTTGATTAGTGCCTTATTCTACAATTAATCTTAATGATTTCAGTTGCAGAGTGAGTTCTAAACTTGAATGAAGATGGCATAATATAGCTGTTAGCAGCACCGAGTTCCCCGATCACAGACACCTGGGGAGAAGAGATGCACTTATACACACAGCTTTTCATCTGTAGATGTCAAAACGCTTTACAAAAGGCAGGTAAGTACCATCATCCCCATTTTAAAGAGAGGAGCAGTGACTAGCATAGCTTATTCTGTAGCTAAAGGGAGGGGTGAACATTCAGTCAGTAAAATAACTTCAACTGAATGACATGTTTATTATAAAGTTCAGACAGAAACCCTGAGTTACCAGCCATATAACAAAATTAAATTAAAAAAGAAAAAGATTTTGCTTTGCATCATGGATTCCTGGATGGTGCTAAGTGAAACAGGAATAAAAAAGAAAGAAACCAAAGCCAACCCAGAAAGACTTGACTTCACAACGGAGAATATTTCTTCCCTATCAGCATCTGTTCATCCGACAGAATCCTGAATGAATGCTGGGGGAATGAGGAGGAATGGTCCAGACCCTGCAGGTATCTGGGACAGTTTAACCAAGCAGGTGCTTAAAATGGCTTATGCACTCGAACAGCAGCCATGTGGCTTCTGAGGGAAACCAAAACCTACAGGATGAAATTTAAGAACTGGTTTTACAAGCTGTACACAAAAATGGGGCGACTTCTCTAACAGGTGGTTCTGGAAAGAACAGCTGCTAGTTTGACATTGGGGAGGGTACAGAAAGTTTGAGGGGAAGAAAAAAAGGTCGGACTTCCAGCTGCACCAGCCCTGAACCCCAAATCAGTTGTGAAAGGTGATGTGTCTACAATCAAGGTCTGGCCCTTCACAGGAAAAGACAAATCAGATCTGCTCTTTAGTGACATCATTACACGGATTATACATTCTAGTTCTCATATACACAAATGGATCCCTTTAAAAATTGTATCAATTTACACTTTAAAAAAAAAAAAAAAGGTTTTACAGTGAACTTCTATCAGGACAGGCGAGTCCACGAAGAGAAGAGCTAGTCTTTCAGAAGGAAAAAGGCACTTGGCCTTGCTGTGGTTTGGAGGAAGACAGTCTGCAAATGGGCTTCCTTTCACGCGTTGTTTTCCTGCCCGTTTCCCTGCTTCCCATCTTCAGCAGCTTGTGCAATGTCATGAGTGACAGCACTGCACAGCGGTGCCATGGGCTGCCCAGGTTTCCCACTACAGTGAGGTGGAGGGGAGCTTCTTCACCCGCCTCTGTGCCAGAATGGATGACTCAATGGGCTTCAGCTGGGGACTTGGCTTGGAGCTGTTTATTGCAGAGTATGTTGCAACCATGGCTCCCTGGGAGAAAAGAATGAAAAAACAAAAAAACAGTCACTGGACTGTCATGGGACTGCATCCACCCAGAATAGCTGGGAGGCAGAAATATCTTTGTACCCTACTGAAAATTACTGGCCAGCATATAAGAAACTGGCTTCTTTTTAGAAGAGAGAGTTATCAGAAGTCTTTCTTTGGCCTGCAGGAGTTAGTTTCTGCCTTGTACTTACTAACCATTCCCCTCCCACTGCAATTTCCCCCAGATTATCCCTTTGCCCTGGCAGCAGATGTCCTGTCGTGATCACCCTACCCCCCCGCACCTTGAGACTGCTCTACCCACTACCCAGAGGTGATGATGGAGCAAGAGGGCACCGCTGAATGCACCACAGGCCAGGCACAGCCCCGCAATGCGTACCTTTACAAGCTGTACATCCTGGTGACTCAGCTGGCTTTGGGGTAACCTATCCTTCTGGGTTATCCAGGGATGCTGCAGGACTTGTTTGGCTGTCAGGCGCTGGTGAGGATCAATATGGAGCATCTTTGTTACCAGATCCTGGAGCAAGCATTCAGAGAATTAGACTTCAGAAAGGTGATGCAAACCCATCTGAGAGAGGTTCATCTCATTCAGACTTAGAAGTTCACTATCCTGGGGAATAGCAGCTATCAGCCTGGGCACAGAGGATGGGGCTGAGTGTCAATGGCCATGGATGGGCCACTATAGACTGGTATTGCATACCAGCACTAATTGCAAAATGGTGAAGCACCCTACATAGAGACTGCTGCCCCCGTTTTGTAGGAAAATGTGCATGTGAAATGGGAGCTACTGACCCCACATGGTGGGGGAGGAAAAAGTGAAAGCAGTAGAAAGGTTTATTTTAACAGGCTGCACAGCAGCTGTCTATACTTGACCTGAGCTACAGACTTAATTCAAGTACCAGACCCTACCTTGGCTGCCTCAGAAACTGTGTCCCAATTTCCTCCTTTTAGAGTGAACTTCCCTCCGCCTATTCGGCTCAGGATGTCCTCTGGAGTGTCACTGGGCCCATTTGCAAAAGGAGTGTATCTGAAAAACAGAAAATTTGCAGGTTCCTCTTCTAACCAAACAGAACTGAAATCTGAGTGAATGATAGTCAATAAGGACAATATGGCCTCTGCAGCAGGGCACACCGACTAGCAATATACCCAGCCAGCCATCGGTGCTAAACGCATCCCCACCATAAGAGCAGCAGATACTTACCCTGCCAGCATTGTATAGAGGAGTATCCCTAAACTCCAGATGTCACATCCCTCATCGTAGCCTTGACGTTTTAGTACCTGTGCAGAATAAGCCAAGGGAAAGATGTCAGTTTTCCTAAGAGTTCCTGCTCTGTCAGACAACGAGCATTGGTCTGACCCCTTTGCCTGCATGCCAGACTTTTCTACAGCTCTGTCAGGGTCATGGACTGAAGGTTCGGACTCAATTTGGCTTTGGTTTCATGGATGAAGTGGAAACATCCCAGGCATGTCAAAATAGCCATGGAAAAGAATCAGGCACTAACAGAATCACACTCTGCATATTAGTTCTACAGAGAAGCCAGTTCTCTGACACCTAGATATACTCATTGAATTAGGTGGCCAGTACACCGGCTTTTCAGCCCCCTAAAAGAGGGGCTTGTTTGCAAGCCAGTGACCCACCCTGTCCTGAGAATGGAGGGTCACTTTTTCTAAAGCCCCGCCAACAGAGCAAGTCTGTTAAGGAACCCAGAGAAGGGGTCAGATTGCAGGAGCGAGAAGTAAATCAGGGGAGAACTTCCGGATTAGGAAAGGGAGCCGACAGAATCATTTGGTTTTGAATTGTGCCACCACTTCATGAGGAGGCAATAGATAGAGGGTAGGAAAGAAAAGAAGCAGGAAGCTATGAAACCTAGTCCCAAAACTTGCCTCCATTAGTTCAATACTGGGAGAGTATTTCTGCTTTTGCCCGCTCCCCAAAGTGGGCCTGCTGGCAGAGTGTGCCAGAGCTAGCCCTGGCCAACATTTCAGCTGGTAACTAATGTTGGCAGAGAACCACAGCCTGATGGAGGACAGCAAGAGCTACAGAGGGAGAGTTTCAGGTCACGAGCGGCTTACCTCGGGGGCCACGAAGTTCGCAGTGTAGCAAGGGGTCATGAGAAGGCCATTCTCAGCTCTCAACTGCTTGGCAAAGCCAAAGTCACAAATGCGAATGCTCTCTGGGTTTCCAGACTCATCCACATAGAGAATGTTGCTGGGTTTCAAGTCTCTATGAACTACCTGTGAAGTAAACAACAGCAGGTGCTGCTGTCACACTCCTCTAGCAGCTGCACTCAAGGCTGCAGGTGAAGCGAATGGCACAGACTTAGATTTCATGCCTGGCCTCCCTCAAGACTGAAACATATCCTAAGAGGCAGCTACTTCCTGGAGAAGGGGCAGGATAGTAGCCCTGTGCCTGCCTGCTTCCCACTTGATTGTGAGGGGGACCAGTCAGCATCTCAGCCTCCCATACTCACCCCTTGAGAATGCAGATACTCCACAGTTTTACAGATTGTGTGCAGCACAGAACTGGCCTCCCGCTCAGAGAAACACTTCTGTCTGAGGATCCTGTCCAGCAGCTCCCCTCCTCTCATCAGCTCAGTCACGAGGAAAACATGCTTCCCGTCGTCATACACCTGCCAAAGCAGATATGCAGGGTTTAGTCCCTAAAACAATAATGATCTCTCTCTCTCTCTCTCTTTCTCACGCACACGTCCGTCCGTCCGTCCTGGGGGCAGAGTTGCCTACAGCGACGCACCCTATGGCCGTATTAAAGTCATTTCCTGCATGTGTTATGTGCGGTTTAGTCTCATGCAGATCTAGTTGGAGGGGACTTTCACAAGCTCTGTAAAAAGCTGAAGCAGAGCCAAGTTTTGATTCACACGTGAAGGGACTCCTCTACCCCAGCCTTTGTTACCAGGCAGTGCTGGGGGAACAGACTGGTTTAATGCTCTGTGCACTCTGCCTGGGATCAGGTAAGGAATGGAGCATGGACCAAAGAAGTGCTTCTCACTGCTGAAAGACCTTCTGGCACCACAGACGCTGGGTGCTCAGTCCCATAAGATTCCTGTGTACTAATAAATTCAGTGATACTTCAAGGGAAAAGTAGCTGTGTTATGGCGAACTATGTTATAGCTTTAGAGAGACAGCCGCTCTAAGCTAGGACTTGTAGCAAACAGGTGGTATCAGAAACCACAATGCACATCCAACGGGATGCTTCCAAAGCAGCCTTTTAGTAGTTCTATCACAAGCTCTACAGAAGTCCTCCATCTCCCCCAGCACGTTGCTGGGGAGCTCTGACACCTCCTCAGACCTGCCACCATTCTACTGGGCGGGTTCTCAGGAGCAACAGCGTCGGCCTCAGAAGGTAGGCCTGTGCTTTCAGAGACAACATCTCTGCTTAGGTGCAAGTTAAAAACGGTTACACTCACATCTTTCAGGGTGATGATATTTGGGTGCTGCCCGTAGCGCAGGAGGATCTCCATCTCCTCAGAAGGGTCTCGTTTACTCTTATCAATGATCTGCAGGAGAGCATAGGTAAGTGTTAACCAGGACTGGGGTCCTTCTGCCAGGCAGGTAGGACAGAGCTGTGTGCACAGAGAAACAATGGGTGGAGCACTGCACAATTTATCCGGGGTTGAGATTCTAAACTTATTTCCACTCCCCACCTCCTGCTGTCTTGGTTTTCCAGAACAACTCATTTTACTGCCAGTTATACATCCCCATGATCACATGGCGCACCACATCAGCCTTTGTTCAGGCTGAGAAGCACTCGATGGAATCCCTAAAGCCCAGCACAGCAAGTGCAATGACTGAAAAGTAATGTGTGGTACCGAACTTCCCTCTCCCCAAAAGAGAATGTCGCTTCCCCAGCACCCCCAGCCCAGAAATCCAGCCTGGCTTCTTGCATGATAGCGCAGAGTTGCAGGGACAACGACACTTAGCTCCGTTTTATTTTCAGAGGCTGTTACTAGAGAAAAAAGGAAACCTGAGTGTGGGAGTGCACATGAGAGAGAGAGATGGCAGACTGCAAACCTTGACGGCATATTCCATGTTGGTGGATTTATGAATGCAGCGTTTACACACTGAATAGGAGCCCACACCGATCGTCTCCCTCACTACGTAGCCTTCATTAAACTGGAGACTCTTGCCGTGCAGCTGCTACCGTGGGATGAATGGAGAAATGAAACAAGAAAAAAACAGAGTTAGTTTAGGGAAATACCACAGTATCTGTACACCAACAAAATGGAGGACGGATTGACTGATTGCTACCCGCTGTATCACACAGCTTCTTATTCTCCCGGTCAGGGAGGGGGAGGGAAGGGCAAACGCCAGTCACATTTCTAGAGTGACTTTCAGCCCAGAGCTACCACCCGCTGAAGTGCAGCCACTTGGCACAGAGTTGGGGCCGTGCCCTGGTGTCCTTGGCTGAACAGTTCACCGGCCAGGGGAAGTTCTGGAAAGAGTCACAGGATCTTCAGCATCCAAGCAAAGCCGAAAGGACTTTGGTCTTTAAGGCTGTAATTTTCAAAGGTCCCTAAGGGAGCGAGGCATCTAAATCCTATTTATTCTCAATGAAATCTGGACACATAACTGCCTTAGCCCCTTTGAAAATCATAGGCCATTTCATCCGAAAGCCCCAGACATTGCAAGCTGCATCGACTCAACTGACTTGCTGCTGCAGGATGAAGGACTGAGCTGGACCCAGCAGGATATGAACCCTCTGGTCCTATGCGTAAACATGCATGATTGGGTCAAACCATCCAGGATCTTTAATCTTGTAGCATGGTGAAGTCGGATTTCTCCACAGGAGGTTATGTGGCCATTTTACCTTGGCCCATTATAGGCTGTGTCTCTTCTCCCCTGCCCTTCCTCCTGTTCACCTCCACGGCCTGGCTAAGCCATTGAACAAATTCACACACTTCTCTGGAATCCACCAGGGAACTGGTCAGGGAGTTTGCAAGAGGAAATCCACCGGAAAAAGCCTTGCCCTCAGGCTTTCGCCAGGCTGCACTTATCAGCCCTCATGGTCTGGCCGACATGCGCTAGGCTTCTGGAATTATCATTGCAGTTTAAGAAAGGTCTTTCCTTGGTCCGGTCCCCTTACCTGTACCACAGAATGCAGAGGTGCCTGGGTAGGTTTGACCATGCCATCCTCCATCAATCCAGTTGCCACAAAACTGAACCCTCGGAAGAGCTGATGGGCCCCCGCACTCGGGGGAATTCCAGGGGAATCTGGAATAAGTCAGGAAAAAGAGTGGTCCTGCAGCAGCCTGCCAGTAGCTGACAATTTACCCCTCATGTACTAAGGGTTATGGTTACTCCCTATTCTAGACAGTAGCCACACCGCATGCTGAATAGACCATTTACCCAAGAGAGCCCCCTGCAGAGTTACTTCTGCACCATCCCTTGTCGAGAGCTGTAACCCTCTGAAGTCAGTGTTCCTCATTTTACAGTGATAGGCCTAGTCCTGCTGGAATAGGAGTCAGTGTAATACACCTCACCCCAGTACCATGTGTTGATATAGCCAGAGCATCCTGTACCAATTTCCTATTTGCTGGGGTGCACACAAACCTTTTGGCGTACGAGAGGTGAACTCTGTGTCAAAATAAAAGGTGTCATCTGGTCGGGCCACGGCAGGTTTGAAAGGTGGTTTGATCTCCCTGCGATATAGCTTCTGCAAAACACAACGCCAAGGATGCCATTCAACAAACCATCCCCCACAGGTAAAGCTGTCCCAATTGGCAGACATTCCCAAACGCTCCTAAGGGGATGGATTTACCAGGAAAGAGAAGCCATGAGGAGGAAACTTTACAAGCCAGAAATTGCTTGGTAGCATAGTGTAGAACTACAGCTCAGTCAGAGTTAGACTCTCATTGGAAGGCCCTTCCATGAAGCTGTTGAGTCACTTCTGTGGCAGAAGCTTGCAGTATTTCTCCTCCCTAGGCAGCTGCTACCGAGAGCCAAAATAACCTTGTATCTCCAGGGTGCTAAAAAGCCAACTATCCAGGAACTAGTTTATGCCACCAGGGTCTGCTGTGTCTTCTCTGCTCACTCTGGCATCAGATGCTGGGCCTGAAAGCTACATCTAGGAAGAGCTAGAGGAATTCCTGGCAGGGAGTTTTTTCCTCCCCACAGCCTTTCTGAATTGCTACTTGAAGATACACCTCTACCCCGATATAACGCTGCCCTCAGGAGCCAAAAAATCTTACTGCGCTATAGGTGAAACTGCATTATATCGAACTTGCTTTGATCTGCCGGAGTGCGCAGCCCGCAGCCCCCCCCAAGCACTGCTTTACCGCGTTATATCCAAATTCGTGTTATGTCGGGGTGGAGGTGTAGTTTGAGAGGAACCCTATGCCAGCATCACAGGAGGTCTGTTCTAAAACCTTTCTAGGTCTTCTATAACCTCCATCACTACAGTATCAGAATGCCTCAAGCACTAACTGGCCAGCCCTCAGAAGACCTCGGCAAGGTACCGGAGTACAGATAGGGAACAGAGCTGCCAAGAGATCGTGTGACTCGCTCAGAAGTTACACAGGAAGCCTGTGGTAAAGCAAAAAATTGAACCCATATTTCCTGAGTTCCAGTCTTAGTCACCAAACCATCCTGGCCCAATCACTTCAGCCAGATATTGTTCTATTAGGACAATTTCTGTCTTTCAAACTGTAGATCCATTCCTTCCAAAAAGATTCCTGTCCCTCAAGTATATTTTCCAATACCTCCGAGGCCATCCCTCTCCTGCTAAATCCCAGATTAGCTTCCACGTCCTTCCACTGCAAGAGATGGTTGATGGTCTCATTTTGATGTGAATTCACACATGTAGGGTATTTGATATGACAAATGTGATTTTTGTTCATTTCCTACTTCAGCCGTCCAGGTGACTCCCGTTCCTTTTGTGTAAACACTGTTTTGGGGAAGGACTCTAACAGCTGATGAACAACAGGACGCAGCCTTTTGACTGCCGGTCACTCTATAAGCATCTGTTTTACTGCAGAGCTAAGACAGTCGAGTGACTCATGCCTCTCCCCTTCATTGGTATGCAAGTTTGAGAGCATGTAGAATCCAATATCTAAGCAAAGAAAGGTTCAATACTCACATTCCAGTCAATGGTGGAGTAAAAAGGGTGACGCTTTATCTCTTCTGCCCCATCTGTACCAGAACCTGGAAGACAGACACCACTCTGGATTTAGTGCTACTGTATATACCCACTCCACTGCTAATGACATAAGCAAGGCTATAATCCACTGTGCAATGTGACCAGGTATTACTGGGAGTCAAGCTGTGCTGAGATGTGTGGGAGAACCTAGCCAAAATCCAATGTATCTGACCCACTTGGACAAAGGAGCCAAGATGTTGCACCTGGAGCTCCCAGAAACAATGTAACACCGGATGTCTTACCTAATCTGTTGGCTGGATTCCTTTTGAAAAGAGCTCGCAGGAGACTCTGTGCTTCGGAGCTCAGGAACTGAGGCATGCCCAGCTTTGCTCTAGAAAGAAAAAAAAAATTGTGCAATTAACTCTGAGTAAGTAAAACAAGCAAACAGGCACTGACTCTGCAGCTCATCTGCCACCTAGCTTCCCACGTCTTTCCTTGCAGCATGTGAGATGGAGTCAGTTTTTCGCTCAGCATTTTAACACTGTGCCCTCCGTAAGTCTGTTTATAGAAATCCTCGCAAATTAATGCCATTAAACTGTTATAACCCCCAGGATGCAAAATTCCTGACGTCCTAGCGTAGGGTGACCAGATACCAAGTATGAAAAATCAGGATGGAGGTGAGAAGTAATAGGAGCCTATATAAGACAAAGTCCTGAATATTGGGACTGTCCCTAAACAATTAGGACATCTGGTCACCCTGTCCTAGAAGCAGAGCAGCGAGCTTTGCCCCTGCAGAGACACTGAAGAATAACTCCTCTTACTTGAGAATGAACGTCATTGTCTCCTTACGGTCTTTTCCCTGGAATGGCAGGGAGCCAGTGAGCATCTCAAACTAGAAAGAAGAGCAAGAGAGAAGGTTAAATGATTGAGCGAGAGTTTCTAGGGGCAGCAGATCCTAATATGGTTTAGGCAGAGAGCCCTATAACACTGAACCTTGATATGGCTAATGGTAATTTATACAGTCTTTCAAAGAACACCTTAGAGCAGAAAGGCCATGGATTGAATGACCACCAGGTGGCAGCTCTAGATCCAAACAAGGAACACTAGCATCACTTCCAGTCTGAAATGAAAGCATCTTAACAGAAAACTTAAGCTGTCTTAATGAGACAAAATGTAACGGTCGTGAGAGACTGTCAGAAACCATCTAAATTCTACGTTCAACAGCTATGAATGTAACTGATCCCTGTGACATTCGTTACACTTCACTACTGATTGCTTTGGTCAGAGTAAGTTATATGGGAGCTTGAAAACATTGGAGTGACTATTAGATCTTTCCCAGTTCAATAGTTCTCTGTTAGAGATACATTATAATGCACAGAGATATTGCATCATCTCTCCAGAGCTACCATTTAAAGAGCCACCATAAAATTAGGCTTCAAACATGCTAGTTAGATACCATACCATTAATACACCATATGACCACCAGTCAGCGCTGTGGGTGTGGCCCTGACGATTCACAACTTCTGGTGCCATATATTCCACTGTCCCACAGAAGGAATACGCTTTCTTCTCATGGTCAATGGCTTCTTTACTCAAACCAAAATCTACACAAAAGAGAAAAACCATGAACATATGTCCACTTTCTACAAACAGAGCACAGGCATGGAAGAATGTCTGTATCTCAAGTTGCAAGTCTGCTGTAGTGCAAAATTTTTGGAGTCACCTTACCTGTGAGTTTGATGTGGCCTTCTTCATCCAAGAGGATGCTATGAGAGGGAGAAGAGAGACAGGCGTGTAAACATCAATGATCATTACCGTAACATAGAGATGCTAACAAGTGAACCAGCACTTATTTCTGCTCCTGAGAGACTAGTTAAAAAGCTTTCAGAACCCCAGAAACAGATCTTAGCGCCACCACTTTCAGCCCCGATGGTTTAGCCCTTTCATCAAGATGTACGATGCAAAGAGAATGGCCCCATTTTCCTCCAGCCACTTACACTCTCCCTCCTAACAGCGATGCTTTGTGCAAGGACTCCATTATTTGCAATACTGTAGCACCTTGGAGCTCCAGTCCTGGATCAGGAACCCACTGTGCTAGGCATTGTACAAACACAGAACAAAAAGACATCCCTGCCCTGAAGAGCTTACAATTTAAGTATAAAGACAAGAGACAACAGGTGGACAGACCGAGGACTACAAGGAATCAATGAGACAACTCTGGTCAGCATGGCAGGCAGCAGCACCAGCACACCCGCAACTTAACTGTTAAGTTTTTTGTAAGCATTACAGCAGAGGAGATTTGAAGAACCCCTACTTTTCCTTTGATGGCTCTACGGGGGGGTAGTGGCGGGGAGGGTTTGATGCCCGAGCCTTTATATAGTCTCTTTGGAGTATCCCTATTGTTTGCCAAGCAAGCCAGCATTTTCGTCAGCTAGAATACAGAATCTGAGTCCTTGGGTCAGCACGAAAAAGCCCAGGACAGGGCAAGCGTGCTGCCCAGTGTTCCCAGCCCGACTGCCTAGGAAGGGAAGGAGAAAGCTGGAGCATTTTTCTCCTTCTCTCTTTCCACACAAGAGTTTTAGGCTACTGCAACTCATTACTCCAGCCTACGTGCATTTCTCAGCTTAACAGGAGGACGCTTTGGCATTTAAAGACTACAGACGTGAGACTGAGGTGCAGGAGAGGCGGCCCAGTGCTGTGTCATTAAATCGGAGGCAGCGTAAGGTTCTGCTATACATACTTCTCTGGTTTGAGGTCTCGGTATAGGATTCCCAGGCTGTGTAAATGATCAAGCCCCAGAGCCAGCTCAGCTAGGTAGAACTTCACATCTTCCTCAGTGAACATTACCTGAGGCACAGAGGAGAGACAGACACCTGGGTGATAAGAAATCAGCCTCCCAAGAACATACCATGAAGTTGTTCCCCATCACAAACATCCCCTCCCCAACATACCCAGCCACTCACCCCTTCAGACTTGTATTTCCTGCTAGCCTGAGATTAAACAGCACAATTAGAGGTTGCTAAACAGTGAGCTGATGTTAATTCAGGATTTTAATTTACATCAGCTATTGTTCTCCAATTATCTTTACCTGTCACTTCAATTTGCAGATTAACTTCCCCATCCCTAGCCTCCTTCCTTGCCCCCTCCTCGATAGGAGCAAATCAGGTTGATTAAGCCGCTACATTGCAGCAGGACAGAGAAAGGGAGTCACTGGTTCCCATCTCTGTCACTTTACACAGCAGTAGCTAGTCAGGGCTCACCTCATCTATGTAGCCACTGTTTTCTGTTCTGATGAGTTGGAGAACAGTGCTCCAAATACCAGTTGTCCTCTACAATAGGCACTCACTATTGCCTACGCTGGTAGAGCTGAACATGCCCGCACCATGAACAGCACAGCAAGATCCCAAGGCATGCTCACCTCTTTGGAAAGCCGAGTGAAGAGATCTCCTCCTCTCAGGAAATCCAAGATGAGATAGAGCTTGCCCTCTGTCTGGAATGCTGAAACATAGGCCAGAGCAGGAATCAGTGCCCTTCTACCCTGACTGCTTGGCAATGTCAGATACCCCTCAAAGCTGGGCGGCTTTAGGTTTCCAGATGCCCCACATTCCCACTAGGCTTAATACAGATATAGCTAGTGACTGGGTGTCAAAATGAGATCACCTGCAAAGTCAGCACTGGGATGGGAGATCACCAAGAACACTTAGGCGCTGCAGGAATTGGCATTGGTGATTGAGTAGGTGGCATTCTTCCCTTGAAATCGGTGCCTAATCAATGCATGCTGCTGGGAGGCAGTGACTTACTGGAAGAGCTGTTTTTGCAGAGAAGAAATAAGAGGTGCCGACCACTGTAGTGCATAAATCTCCCACGATATCTTTTCTTGGAGTAGGAGTTTTAACCCAGGGGACAAATTCTAGCACATGTAGTTATTCTGCCTTCTTAAATCCCCCCTGCTGTTTTGGTAACTGAAGCACCAGCTGCCTCTGGAGCCACCCACAATGGAGAGCTCAGAATTCTGAACTTAGGAGGGAGGGTGTGGAATGGAAGGGAGGGGAGATCGGGTCCAAGGGGCTGCGTGGAAAAGACAAAACTAAGCTTTAAAAAAGGGAACAAATTCAGGTGCATCTGCTACACCTGCTCTTCTGTGCTTAGATAGAACTGTACTGAACACACAAAGCCCAAGGGTTTAAAATTCATCCTCTTCTCCTGTGTTATTCTATTTTCCTATTCAATAACCAGGCAGGGCATGGGACCAAGATCCCATCAAAGGAAGAGTTCATTTTTAGGGGGATTGTGCTTAGAAAGACAACAGGACAATCTAGGCAGTAAGGGGAACAGGGGCTACTTGACAGGCTCCTCCCATATTACTGCTATTGGCATAACCCTTCCAGACAGTATTTGAGAAAAATACACATTCAACAAGAATCTGTTGCTGGACACCTAGGGAACAGCTCCCTCAGGCAATGCACTGCACTTGCAGTAGCGCATAGTGGGTAGTGCTCATGGACAGTTAGAAACTATTCAGGGCTGTTGCCACCCACTGGCTCTGCCATTCCTCTGGCCTGAAGCTAGCTGTGTACTCACCATAGTGCAGTTTCACCACAAAGGGATGGTTCACATCAGCTAAGATGTCCCTTTCCATTTTTGTCCGTACGCGATCGCGCACTGTGGAGAGAGATGCACAGTTCAGACACTTCGGAACAGGACAGTGACCCTGACACCAGCTACAGGGCTCTGCCTGCAGCCTCATGGCTTCACTAGCTCTTGCCAAACTGTGCCTAGCTCGACATTTCCCCATTCCCAGCTCTGAAGAGACTTTCCTTCGTGGAGCAGCATTGATTACTCTCTCCCACCTCAGTCAGTCAATGGTGGGGAGATATGGGTGCATCACTACAGAATGGTGCAGTTTTCCCAGCACGACTTCTCATTCCATTTTGGGGATGCAGATGTGGATCAGCACATGGAAAGCCCTTCTCACCTTTCAAGGTTGCTTTCTTCAGGACCTTCATGGCATAGAGATGGCCATTGTCTGGTGGGGTGATTTTTCTTACTAAAAAGACCTGCATACACAGGAGGAGAGATCAACTTGTGACTAAAGTCGTCTGGATAGAATTTTACTGCATACTAGCAAATAAACCCCCACGCGACTCCAGAACAGCAGCAAACTGCAGGGTCAGCAAGTTCAACGCTTTGAGCTCTGCAAGCAAAAGCCGACAGGTTTCCAGAGTCTCCTGGGGAAGGTATTTTGATGCTTCACCCTCCTGCTCCCCATCTTCAAAGCAGGCTTGCCCTTAGAGCATTCCTGCCTCTGCTCACCACACCTTTTTTCCTCCAATCGTCATAACTGAAAGCAAAGACTATTAAGAAAAAAAAAAGCCTCTCCCCAATACCAAGGAACCAGTCACCACCCTTGGTACCGTGTCAGACTAGATCAGACTCAGGGAGTACCCAAGTGCCCCACTGTACTAGGAGACTTCCTTCTGACATGTGGCTTTGGCAGCAAGACTGACTCCCAGGCATTCATGATTAATGCCATCCCTGGCAGCTTCCCCTCCTTTCCAAGTCCTCATATACAACAGTGGCTGGATCCAGGCAGGGAAATGGGGCCTCATTATCAGAGAGTGGCCACTTCTCTTGGCAGCATGAGAAATGGAGCTCAGAATCCTAGTCAGATCCTCAGTGACCCATGGAGATATCCAGGCTATTGACCAATGCAATATTGGCCAGTCTCGAGACTGTATGCAGCAGATTGTTTTTAGAGATGGATTATTCATGGGTTGAAAGAGAAGAGAGTTTAGGTGCCACTTCCCTCCCCCTCCATAAAGGGTAAAAAAGAACATGTGTACAAGTGAGTGGAAGCCTTGGATAGTCACCCATATACAGAGTAATCTGAGAGAGGAGGGTGGGGAGAGTAACAGAGAATCCCTAAATTCTTTTTATCCAGCCACATGGCTAGAGAGCCAATTGGAGAGCAGCTGGGATGTTGCTTTCACATGGAATACCTACATTTTATGGCTGTCGATTAATCGCAGTTAACTCACGCAATTAACTCAAAAACATTAATCATGATTAATCGCAGTTTTAATCGCACTGTTAAACAATAGAATACCAATTGAAATTTATTAAATATTATGGATGCTTTTCTACATTTTCATATATGCTGTATTCTGCGTTGTGGTTGAAATCAAAGTGTATATTATTTTTTATTACAAATATTTGCACTATAAAAATGATAAACAAAAGAAATAGGATTTTTCAATTCACCTAAGTACTGTAGTGCAATCTCTTTGTCGTGAAAGTGCAACTTACAAATGTAGATTTTTGTTTTGCTACATAACTGCACTCCAAAAACAAACAATGTAAAACTTCAGAGCCTACAAGTCCACTCAGTCCTACTTCTTGTTCAGCCAATCGCTAAGACAAACAAGTTTGTTTACATTTACAGGAGAGAATGCTGCCCTCTTCTTATTTACAATGTCACCAGAAAGTGAGAACAGGCATTTGCATGGCACTTTTCTGGCTGGCATTGCAAGGTATTTACGTACCAGAAGCTAAACATTCATATGGCCCTTCATGCTTCAGCCACCATTCCAGAGGACATGCTTCCATACTGATGATGCTCATTAAAAAAAAATAATGCGTTAATTAAATTTGTGACTGAACTCCCTGGGGGAAAACTGTATGTCCCCTGCTCTGTTTTACCTGCACTCTGCCATATATTTCATGTTATAGCAGTCTCGGATGATGACCCAGCACATGTTGTTAATTTTAAGAACACTTTCACTGCAGATTTCACAAAATGCAAAGAAGGTACCAATGTGAGATTTCTAAAAATAGCTACAGCACTCAACCCAAGGTTTAAGAATCTGAAGCGCCTTTCAAAATCTGAGAGGCACGAGGTATGGAGCATGCTTTCAGAAGTCTTAGAGCAACACTCCGATGCGGAAACTAAATAACTCAAAAAAAGAAAATCAACCTTCTGCTGGTGGCATCTGACTCAGATAATGAAAATGAACATGCTTTGATCCGCACTGATGTGGACTGTTACAGAGCAGAATCTGTCATCAGCATGGACGCATGTCCCCTGACTGGTGGCTGAAGAACGAAGGGAAATATGAATCTTTAGCACATCTGGCACGTAAATATCTTGCGACACCGGCTATAACAGTGCCATGCGAACGCCTGTTCTCACTTTCAGGTGACATTGTAAACAAGAAGCAGGCAGCATTATCTCCTGCAAATGTAAATGAACTTGTTTGTCTGAGCAATTGATGGAACAAGAAGCAGGACTGAGTGGACTTGCAGGTTCTAAAATTTTACATTGTTTTTATTTTGACTGCAGTTTTTTTGTACATAATTCTACGTTTGTAAGTTCAATTTTCATGATAAAGCAATTGCATACAGTACTTGTATTAGATGAACTGAAAAATACTATTTTTTTACAGTGCAAATACTTGTAATCAAAAATAACTATAAAGTGAGCACTGTACACTTTGTATTCTGTATTGTAATTGAAATCAATATATTTGAAAATGTAGAAAATATGCAAAAATATTTAAATAAATGGTATTTTATTATTGTTTAACAGTGCGATTAATCCTGAATAATTTTTTTAATCGCTTGACAGCCCTACTACATTTATAAGCAAAGATCTCTCCTTCCACCCTCTTCATTGTCAGAGCTCTCATTAGAGCCTATTGCAGCACTGCATGCACAAGGACTGCAAGAGTGGACCTCTTGGAGCAGACTGCACCTGCAGCCGCATCCGGTCTCAGAAGAAACTCAGTCAAATTGTTATTCCGGCTGTGAGCTCGTGGGAATCGTGTAGCCAGTTGCTCTTCTCCCATTATCCTGGCCCCAAAATAGATTTAATTGACATATAAAGATACAGTAGGAAGCAAACTCACTTTGCCAAAAGAGCCTTGGCCCAGAACTTTGAGAAGTTCAAACTGCGAAGGATCAGCCTTCTCAGAGCCCTCCTTCACATGGTGTGTGATGTTAATTTCTTTCACGATACCTTCATCCTGAAATAAAAAACACATGGATGAGGAAGACTAACTTCCAGAGCAGAGGAAAAGCCTCATCTGTTCAAGTACGACTACAAGCTCTTGGGAACCAGAACTGATCCCACAACACAAGCATCTCCTGCTTGCCACTTCCAGGGCAAAATCACTAGAAGGACTTGCAAATAGCATAGCACCTTGCAAATATTTCACTCTCTTATCAAACGCCACACTCCTTTGCTTCTAGCCAAAGAACAGAGTTCAGTTTCTTTGAACTGCATTTCATAAGAGTTTTGAAAGCAATTTTTTTAAAGCAAGAGTGGCAATAATGTTTATACTACTAAAAATCCCAACACGCGGCATTGTTGTCATACAACAAGGACGTGGCTGGCAAGTCAGACACACAAAACCCCATCTGTTCAGCAATCTGAGTAGCTCTGTCACAGGAGTCTTAGTGCATCTTGAGCACATAAGGACGCTTTTTTACAGCCTCAGCTCTTCTGGGAGATAGAGAAGCCAAGGTCTGTATGTGATACGTGGTTTGTTTAAATACATTCTTTTACCGAGCTCGAGAGCAGACATGATCAGAGAATAATGAAAGGTGGAGGGAAGGTAAGTCACTACCTTCCATCTATCTTTTTTTGAAAAGACAGAACACAGGGCAACAAAGGACATTAAAAAGACAACATTTAACATGTCCCTCCCCACCTCACAAACAAAATGTCCGGTGGAACTCCCTGCCACAAGACTGAGGCCAAGAGTTTAGCTCAATTGAAAAAGCCCTAGACATTTACACAAATCGGAACATCTCCAAAGATTAAAAGAGGGGCATAAGCGTTCATGCTTCAAAGCAGCCAGTCATTAACTACCTCGAGAACAGGAAGGAGTTTTCCTTATAGTCAAATGACTTCATAATTGTCATTTTTTAAAATTAAACAAAGCACCCAATACTAGATCCAGGAAAAATTTGACTAAAAACATATTTTTTGGGGACCAAAAAAAAAAAAAAATGCAGATTTGGCAACACCAAAATATTTTATGATGATTTTTCAGAATTGTTCCAGTCAAAGAAGCCTTTAAAAATGTCAAAACCTGCCCTCCAAAACATTGTTTTGACATTTTCTAAACAAAAAAAAATTTCAATTTTATTTTGAAATGACTGTTTCAAAATTTCCATTAAATTTTACCGTAAAAAATGCTTTAAATTTCTCAAAATCTAAACAAAAAATATTGTTTGACTCCCCATTTTTTAAAATTTGTTTTTGATTTTTCAGAATTGCCAGTGAACCAGAAAATCTGTATTTGCATGGTTCCACCTGAGATTCGCCAGCATATGGAAACTCAACAAGCTGGACCTCTGGTCTGGGAATTACGTTCCGGAGCACACTGAAGACCCAATCTACAGCAGGGCTCAGAGACACTGGGTTTAAAAGTGGTCCTGACTTCCTAATGCTTTTTAGTTGACTGTTAACATCTTGTCTAAGTCAGGTTTAGAAACAACAATTCTACCCTATGTAAAAACCCAGTTTTGTACAGTTTAGTCCCTACAGGTTTTAAATAGAACAGTATTTAAATCGAGTTTAACCACCACCCAAGAGGATGGAGCTGCCGTGTACTTTGGGCACTAGCTTCCTTTCTTTACCAGAACTGCCTCCACCCTCTCTGAAAAGGTTCTCCGGAAGCGGGGAGATGCATACAAGGATGTGGTTGCCTACCTGAAGTTGTGCACCCTTTTCTTTCTAGCTCATGAGCTTTGTTTTCTCTAGACTAGGAAGTGCCTTTGTTTTCATATTATTTGGCAGCTCTGTTCTCTCAAAACTGATAGTAAATACTGAATTCTGGTACCAACTGAAGCCTTTACCCACACAACAGGTCCAGCAAGAGCAGCAGCAGGACTAACTTCCCCAACATTCTCCTGCCTGTCTTATCCCTGTTCTGGAGGGACCAAACTAGAGGCAAGAAAGGTATTGTCTCCATAATGCAGTCCTAAGCTTCTATGCAGAGACTGTCCATAAGATGGTCAACAGAGTTTGTGGTTTTTACATTGCTGGCAGCTGTCCACTAGTGACTGAATCACCAACTCCTTTCCCATGTCAATGAAAAACCATTCTCTAGGAACAGCTTTCCATCATTGTCAACCTGGTTTGGACTGAAGTGAGCAAGGGGCCCCATGACATTGTATCCCCCAGTTGCGAAAGCATGACACCCAACCAACCTGAGAAAGGACCCGGAAACACCAAGCTATTTGGGGAATGTCATGAAAGGTACTGGAGAAACTCCTAGACTGCAGGCTATAAGCCTCAGCATTAGGACTGAACACACACTGTTCTGACAAGTCAGACTGTAGAGAGTTTCATTTCCAGCACACTATTTTTATGGCCAGAGTCACTTTTCTGGACCTCAGCAGTACAATTTGCTGTTCATAATCAAAGGAAAAAGATATGGCCAACAGCGTTCCCATTAACACAAAAGAATGAAGAAATAGACAGAACTCAGGACAGCTTAATGACCCAGTTCAACATCAAGGAAGTAGTATTAAAGTTAGGCTCAACTGTAGAATAGAGAAACAAAAACGGGGGTTTCATGAAAACAGCAAGGAGAAAAAAAATATTGACACTGATTGGGTTAGGTTAAGTTTACTACCAAGTTATATTGTGTGCCTAGTAGATCCATTTTAAATGAATATTTCCTTTACACACAGACATTTATGCTCCTCTATATTCCTTCATTATAACTGAAGGACTCAGTACGGTAGGAACAATTCCATGTACACCCAATAGCTGCTGTTCCAAATTCTTCCAATGGAGGTATAGTACAATTGTGCGAATGATCTGAACTTCAGTACATTTAGCCAACAATAAGCCCCAATTTGACTAGTTCTAGATGGGTTTTCACCGCTATACTTGTGCTCTCAAGGCTGTCAGGCAGTGAAAGATTTGCATATATAGCCTGGCAACTAAAGCTGCTCAGTGAATATACGAACTAGGAAAAAAATGGGCATTTGAAAGGAGACCGAAATTGATCACATTTTGAGATGAAGCTTTAGAGCTCAGCTAACAGCTCCCCCATAAAAAAGGGTGTTTTTAAAATGTTTTTGCCTGTCTAGTCCATTAACCTATAAAACTACTGCAAGAAAGACAACATCATGACTGTTTAGAGCGTTAGTCAGAAGATCAGATTCCATAACTTGTTCAGTTGCAAACCAGACAAGCAGCAGGTATAGTAAGCAAGTCTCAACACTGGCCAGCAGGAACAATCGCAGCAGCCAGATGAGGATAAGTGCATCACCACCACACTGATCAGTAACATTAACCGGCTTGATACCTGGGAGAAGGAACTTTCCTTCTCCAATGCGATTAAGCTGAAGTTACCCTGCAGGAAAGGAAAGAGGGAAGACCCAGAAGGCTGCATCCACAGATTGCAGCGACTGTTAACCCAACCAACATCAGTCCAGTTGAACTGAGCAGTTACAAACACAAGCTGAAGCCAGAGAGTCCTCCAGCAAGCTAGCTGCAGTACTAACCGAGCTGGAGAGCTGGCCAGGGGCAGGCAGTTGCAGGCTGCAGGGTTTCGCTCGGTGTTTCCTGTGCAGCCACAGTGTGAGAAAGGCACAGATGCGAGGAAGCTTGGGGTCCCTCTCCATGGTCCATCCCGTTGAGCATGGCACATCCCCAGTTACCAGGGGCTCTAGGGGAGCATGGCAGGCTGCTGGAATACACACTGCTTCATGGAGGACTTGAGACAGGCTTCAGGTTTTAGAGTCACAGACTGGAGGAGCTGGAGGTGGTTAAAGCCCCACTGGCAGATGAGCAGTGAAGGCAGCAGTCTCTGACTCTCACAGCTAAGCAGGTTAACACTCCCACTCCCCAGCACTTGCAGCTGGTTTTTACACCTCACAGCTCCTTCTCAGATCTGACTCCTCTCTATTCAGAGAAGACTCACTCTCTCTGCGCTAGACCCCACAGGGTTTACTCTAGGTAGTCTGAGTTTATGTGGGAATTCCCACAAAGGGGGAATATTTTGAGGAGTTATTTACATTTTGAACAAGAGATAAAAGCCCCACATTAAGAAGAGCCTGAATAGTGATACTGCCTAGAAGATCTGCAAACGCATATTTGCCCCTCTGATTGGGCACGGAGAAGAGGCTTTAGTATCAGATCGATCCTGGGGGTTACTCCCCTAGGGCATATAACCACACTGAATTCCGTGATAAATTTGGTCCTTAGATTTCCACATGTACAACTCTTGCACAGCCAAGAGGATGCCTTCTATCATAGGGGAGGTGGCTTTGCCTAATCCCTTCCTGGAATCCTCTCCATGATATTTATAAGGCACCAATGGAGACTATAAGTAACCAACTAGCCATGGTTCTGCAGAGGCCGTTGCTCAAGGAGCTGCAAACAGGGACAGAATAGAGGTAAACAGAGTGTTGTAGCAGACAGAATAGCCCTTTCGTCCCATCATTGTCCAAATTCACTTACAGGATGGGAGCGATTGTTCTGATTTAAAAAACAAAAAAAAACAACCCACCAGCCTCCTTTCCCTCACCTTCTTCTTCATGTTCCTTTTTCATAGCCCCGTATGCTGGGCTAAGTGGGCATCTGCTCCCCAAGTGAGCATGGAGTTATCCCCTCCAGTTATATTTCTCTGTTCCAAGCTTTTTTTAAAATAAATATATAGATTTATAGTTATATATTTTTTGCTTTAAAACTAGCCTAGCTTGCAATAAGACATGAGCCTGTCTCCGTTCACTTCTGGAAATACCCCCAGAGGGTGTTTGGAGCTGGGATTTTAGTTTGAGCCTATGACTACTTCTGACCTTTCTCTCCTCACCATGTACAAACCACACTCTTTGGTAACTGATAATGAAAGTAGGAAATGACGATTAATGTTGCGTTAACACCAGTCAGGGATGAGGGCCCCATTGTGCTACACACTGTACAAGTGAGTCAGACCAAGCTAGGCTCTGCCCCAAAGACACAACAGGTAGAGGAGTCAGGGGTGTGGGACAGCAGGTTTAGTAGGAAAGAGCCTGAGCAACGGGCAATAGCAAATCCTTGCTACAGCCCAGAAGCTGTCAGGAGTAAAGTCTAGGTGCCTGATTCTGATTCACACTACTTTATTCTGCTGGAGTCACAGTGTGAGCAGCAATCAAGGCCAGAGTTTGCATTCAACATCTGTAAAATGAAGTTATTGACACTGGCCTCCTTCGTAAAGAGCTCTGAGGTTTACTGGATCAACGAGCTAGGTAATTATAAAGAGAGAGTGTCAAGAATGACTAAGGATTGCATTGGGTCAGTTATTTCTGGTGGACACAGAAGCCATCGCTCCACTCAAGAACTGAATGTGAACAGGTTTCAGAGTAGCAGCCGTGTTAGTCTATATCCGCAAAAAGAACAGGAGTTCTTGTGGCACCTTAGAAGCTAACAAATTTATTTGAGCATAAGCTTTCGTGGGCTACAGCCTAATTCATGCATCCAATGAAGTGGGCTGTAGCCCACGAAAGCTTATGCTCAAATACATTTGTTAGTCTCTAAGGTGCCACAAGTACTCCTGTTTTTTTGGAATGTGAACAGTTACTGCTAAACTAGGGTGACCAGGTGTCCTGATTTTATAGGGACAGTCCCAATATTTGGGCCTTTGTCTTATATAGGCGCCTATTACCCCCCACCCCCGTCCCGATTTTTCACACTTGCTGTCTGGTCACCCTATGCTAATCTGTTAGCATGGATACAAATGCAATCCTCTTCCCTCCCAGGGTAGCTAGCTTATTGGAGAAGAATACATGACACAGAGGCAGAGTGCCTTCACAACCACACAAAATGGCGTCTTGTGCCCCAAAGACAATGGAAGAGTACAACAGTTGATGACTACAACATGGGGTGGGCTGGGGGAGGGCGAAGACATGATCACAAGGTCACATGAGTGACTCATGTCTGTCTGCCTTCGGTATTAGCAACTCTGATTTGCCTAGTAGACATGTGCCATAAAAGACCTTTCAGAGAGTTACTTGTGCACGTTGCTAACACCTGCTTGTGTCTCCGATTTTGCTGAAGTTCACAAGTACAGTTCAGACAGTGTTAATGGTGTGCAAAGCCAGCACAGGCATTGGAGGAGAGAATGATTCACAACTCAAATATTAACTCAAATCCTATACCGTAATAAACGGTCAGAGAATCTTGTCATACGACAAAGTGTGAATTAAAAGACACAAATCTCCTCAAGCCATGTGTTTGCAACAGGCTCTCTTACCTTATCTGCTGAGTCTACAACGTCTTTCTCTATCCAAGATATGTCCGATTTTGCCTGTGGAACAGAAAAGGAGTGTCAGCACAAAGGGTCTGTGATGCTCAGTTAACATTTTCCTCGTGTATTCGTTTAATAGAAGCAGGCAAGCTATTTACAAAGGCACAAGACAGAGCCAATTCAGAGCTGTGTTGGTACTGCCAGGAAAGAAGGGTCCAATAGGTTTCAGAATTCTTTACACACTTGTCCTGTGGCACCTTTAAGACTAACAGATCTGTTAGTCTTAAAGGTGCCACAGGACTCTCTCTTGCTTTTTACAGACTAACACGGCTACCCTTCTGATACTTTACAGACTTGTTTGCACAGCTGGTGGGAGAGGGGAGTGAGAAAGAAGTGAATCCTGCGTGCCTCCAAAGGTCACAGGATCACTGCGGCTATGGAGAAAAAGTTTAGTTCCTAGGTCTTCACAGGGTGACTGGCCTCTTTAAAGGACAATGGGGCCAGCCTCACCCATGCCATAGTTAGTCCCCCTCTTAGGCGGGGGGGGGGGGGGCAGGCTAATTATGGCATAGGCAGGGCTGGTTCTACTTTCCCTTAAAGGGGCTGGTTGCCCAGGGGCAGGGCCAAATTCTGCTCTCAGTCACACCTGGTGTAACTCCACAGCAGCTCTCTGCTTTGGTAGAGTTACATCGATTTGACATTCAGGATAACAGCAGAAATTGGGATCTGGACTCTTGCTCAGCTCTTCCCAGCTGAGAAATGGGTTTTCATCTGAGTGGGAATCAGTGCTCCTAAACCAGCTAATAGGAAAACAGACAAGTAAAAAGTGCATCACATCTTGCAGGGAGAGAGTAGGTCTAGCTCCTATCTCATGGTCTGTTTCCAGCCCAGCTATTGGATTTCATCTCAAAGGGTGACATGAGAAGTATTCATCCAATTGCCTTTTAACCTGATGCTTGCCTAGTTCTAGACAGTCTTCTTTTGTTGAGAGAGAGGAAAAAAACTGTTTGAGGAAGGTTTAACCATACCCTGGTTCAAAAGCTGTTCCTTCTGCTCTGCCCCTACAGAAACACTGGCAGACAGATTTCAGTTGAAGAGCCTGATTTTTGGAAGGTTAGAGATTAGACCCCAAAGCCTGTTGTATCTCCAAGAGGTTAAACTCATGTACATATAGATTCACTATCGCAGCTGGGTGCTTTTTCAGCCAGCTTTGAGAAGCTGAGCTGAAGTTTAAATAAAAATACAAAAAAAAAAAAATCCCACAGATGTGATGCATTTCCTTCTGTGGGGCTCAATTCTCAAGATGCAGATTAGGTGAAGCTTACTGTAGCATGGTGACAGAATGTGTTTTTTAAAGAGACACTCGGCTGCGTACTTCTGCTTTCTCTGGATGCGGTTAGGTAGTGTCACGGGGTGGGAGTGGGGTGGGGGAGCTCGTGGCCCAGCATTTTCGATAATCGGAGTTACAGTTCCAAGGTCCTCTGACCACAGGTCGAAAGGAGAAACCTCCCCAACTCTGCCCCCATAAACAGGATTACTGTCCAGAAACCTGAAAGTAAGTAATGGCTGCGAAGGGGTTATAAGCCTTGGGGGAGCTTCACCAAAATTTGAATAAGGGAGACATTCTAAGCCTGGGAAGAAGCTGAATACAGGGCGCGGGGGCCTTGTTTTCACATCTCCCTCACATGACCCCATTACTACAGCTGCTTGGCACAGCAGCAGGAAGGCTGAACTCCCTAGCTCCTCCTGCCACCCATGCCGTTGCCGCCACGCTATTTTCCACACACTAGCGCTCACCGAGCCAGCACAAGCAGATCTCCTGGAAGTGGGATGGACACGTCCAGCCTGAAGTGCAGACGTACCCGCAGTGAAGAGACTGACCGGCCCGCCCTCTGCCATGAGGGCGCAAATTCTACACCCCGGCCAAGAGTTGCCGTTCACAGCTGAAGAAAAACAATCGCCGCCAGAGCCTTTCACTAACGTCCATCAGGTGCTTCAAAGCCTCACAACAGCCACTCCCGGACCAACACTGTCCCCCAGTTACAAATAAGGAAAGATGCAGAGGTTAAAGTCACGCACGTCAGTGATGGAACAGCTCTTGTACACTCTTCTCACGATACCCTAATCGTTTGCTCTGACCTCGTTCCTTGAGCAACGTGTTCAATTGGGCACACTTTGCTAGAGTGGAGCCCCTGCAAACTATTCACACTAGCTCACATAAGGGGCAGGTTGCATTGTCATGGGCCTGCAGCAGAATTAGGGTTGCCAACCCTCCAGGATTGCCCTGGAGTCTCCAGGAATTAAAGATTAATCATTAATTAAAGATTATGTCAAGTGATGAAATCTCCAGGAATAGGTCCAACCAAAATTGGCAACCCTAAGCGGAATATTTTGCAGCCCTCTACAAATTCAGGAGAAGTCATTTACAGAGATCCCCTGTGTGAGTTGGAGATTAGGATCTGCTGCTGCTCACGCAATACTCCTCCTCACCTAGTCAGTCAGGTTTGAAACCAGGAAGTTACTGCAAGTCTGAGAGGAGGAGACTGAGTTTCTTTTGAACTGAACCATGTTGGGGCTGCTTTAGTACTAAGCAGATCCCTTAGTCAAGCCTAGAACAGTTTGTAATGCAAGGGTCTCAGGATATAATTTGTTGTCTCTTCCCACAGATACAGGTCAAAATGCACTCTCCTGACCTCTCTCCTCTTCTTTATATAAAGAGTTTTAGAAACAAAAGTGGCAAAAGACCACGTGTGTGTTTTATAACCTTGATAATGGAGATATTGGAGTCTGAACGTTGGAAACAGGCGGCGAGAACTAGAGGCTATTTAGCGTTATGTTTTCTGCATCCTGCTTTCATGCATCACGGACCATAATCTGAGGCATCTTTTTGTTCCACCGTTGCTTCAATCGTGCTGACGTGCCAAGCCAGTCCCAAACTCTGCCAGTACAGAGAAGAGTATCCTCAGGAGAGGACGCCATGGCCTTTATCACCAGAAAGGCCCTTTCAAAAGAGACTACATAAGACAGTAAATTAAATGCAGCCTGGCCAGCTCTAGAGTCTTGCAAGTCTCTGACTTCCGGCCTTTGATCCTGTGAAATAGAAAACACGATACTGAAAACAGAACTGATAAAGAGACCACTACACTTGCCTCCTGGATCCTTGGTTTGGTGCGAAAGAGCAGCCTCAGCATCTCCAAAGCTCCAGACGGCTACTCTCCCATAGTTTGCAAGGGAGCTTCTGATCTAGCGCTCTCCCCAGCACGGACACCAGCACAAGAACCCCCAGTAGTAGCTATGTCACTTGGATGTATTTTGGGAGTTTCAGCATAAAAGGAAACTGTGGTTTGCTATGGGGAAATTGTGCAGTGAGTGCTCACTGCACAACACCAGCAGCCAAATGAAAGCATTAGTCAAGGCACATGACCCCTAATGGGATGCTGATTTGTGAAGCCCAATTCAGAGAATCCAAATATTGTGCTGCTCATGTGCATGTAGGTCTTATTTACACAGTGGATTGTATCTCCGTTGGACAGGGTGGGGGTGTGACAGTGTTCAGGATACCCGTGACTGAATCACCTATTTACACCTCCCGCCCGCAGCCTCTAGCAAGGAGGAGGTTTGCCTGTGGTAGCTGGGTGTCAGCTCCCTAACATCACCAACCTGTCAGCCACTCAAGCACTCCCCTCTGGGCTCTGTCAGCCTGTCTTTAACTCGCAGGTGAACAAAAGGAGCACCTCAGTCCCTGAGTCTCCTTGAAGCGTTCGCCTGTGATACCCAGCCCCGGATGCTGGATACTCACAGGAATCTCAGATCCTCTGCCCTCAAAGAAGCCGGCTACCCCAGTTTACCACTCCTGTGTAAGTACAGTGCTTGTGAGCACTTACAACAAAACAAAAAGAAGGTTTAGGAAAGAATAGAGAGACTCCACTAGAAACCAGAGAGTAATGGAAACAAAATAGTTACAATCCAAAACAAAATCATAATACTAGGGCTGTCAAGCAATTAAAAAAAATTAATCACGATTAATTGCACTATTAAACAATAATAAAATACCATTTATTTAAATATTTTTGGATGTTTTCTACATTTTCTAATATATTGATTTCAATTACAATACAGAACACAAAGTGTACAGTGCTCACTTTATATTTATTTTTGATTACAAGTATTTGCACTGTAAAAAAAAATTGTATTTTTCAATTCACCTAATATAAGTACTGTCGTGCAATCTCTTTATCATGAAAATTGAGCTTACAAATTTGGAATTATGTACAAAAAAATAACTGCATTCAAAAATAAAACAAATGTAAAACTTTAGAGCCTACAAGTCCACTCAGTCCTACTTCAGCCAATCGTTCGCACAAACAAGTTTGTTTACATTTGCAGGAAATAATGCTGCCCTTTTCTTGTTTACAATGTCGCCTGACAGGGAGAACAGGTGTTCTCATGGAACGGTTGTAGCCAGCGTTGCAAGATATTTACGTGCCAGATGCGCTAAAGATTCATATGTCCCTTCATGCTTCAACCACCATTCCAGGGGACATGCGTCCATGCTGATGAAGGGTTCTGCTCAATAACAATCCAAAGCAGTGCAGACCGACGCAGGTTCATTTTCATTATCTGAGTCAGATGCCACCAGCAGAAGGTTGATTTTCTTTTTTGGTGGTTCGGATTCCGTAGTTTCCGCATTGGAATGTTGCTCTTTTAAGACTTCTGAAAGCATGCTCCATACCTCGTCCCTCTCAGATTTTGGAAAGCACTTCAGATTCTTAAACCTTGGGTTGAGTGCTGTAGCTATTTTTAGAAATCTCACATTGGTACCTTCTTTGCGTTTTATGAAATCTGCAGTGAAAGTGTTCTTAAAATTAACAACATGTACTGGGTCATCATCCGAGACTGCTATAACATGAAATATATGGCAGAATGCAGGTAAAACAGAGCAGGGGACATACAATTCTCCCCCAAGGAGTTCAGTCACAAATGTAATTAACACATTTTTTTTTTTAAACAAGTGTCATCAGCATGGAAGCATGTCCTCTGGAAAGGTGGCTGAAGCATAA